AAAATAGAGAGAGGGGATACCTTTCAATTCGTTACATGAAGAAAAGTTGCTCAAAGCAATTATACAAACAAACTAAAATGCGTAATTGATACTGAGGAATATTGCCCACTTGTCCTTGTTCTTTGCCAGTTCATTACCCTAAGCTAAACAGGCAATTAAACATAAAGGCTAGTTTCCCATTTGTTTGGTCAAGCTCACTTACAAAAAAAAAAAAACATAACCAGGTGAGTTTTGTTCAGTCAATAAAACTGATCGAACAAAAGAGGAAAAAACGTAACAGCCTGCAACTTTCATCGGATTCAATTGCATCATAACCAGGAGAGTTTTGTTCGGTCAAAACCACTAACCGAACTAACAAAAGAGGGAAAACGTGAGGGCTGAGGGCTTGAATTTCCATCAAATCATCACCATAGCCATTGTTTTCGGTCAATATGAATGATCGAACTGTGTAAGGAAAAATGCCTAATTGATTCGATCAATAATACTAACTAAAATAAACCAAATTATGTGTTTTTATTAATAAAAATTGTGTGAATTTTTTTATTAATTCGATCAATATGCTTGACCGAATTATTTTTCGGTCAAGCATTTTGACTGAACTTAACATGGCAGTAACACCTGCCACCTTAGTTCGGTTGATATGCTTAACTGAAATAATTTTTGATTGAGTAAACTATTGAACATGGTGTAAAATGGATATTTTTGTAGTTTAGTCAGTCATTATGTCCGAAATAATGTTTTTTCGGTCAAGATTTTTGCTTGACCGAAATAATATGTTTGAAAAAGGAGGTTTTTCTAATAGTGCCGTTTTGACTTAATCTCCAATTTTTAATCTACATATGGGTGGCATTTTTTTTTTTTACGAATTTCATTTGTACTACATTCCTATTTGGGAAGTAGGTTTGGGGCTTTGGACTATTAGGTGTAATCTCCCACAATTGCTAGCCTTCCATCTATAACATGAATTAAGTGTTAATATAAGCTAATTTGGTAGGAAGAGTTAAATTGGAGAATCATAATATAGTAATCAAAGCATACATAGATTTCATAATTGAATAAAGTAAATTGAGTTGTATATTCTTTTTTTTATAAATAATGTGCTTATTTTTTTTACTGTTATTCATTGTTCATTACTTGTTATTCATTATTTATCGTATATTATTTGGTTTTTGTTATTCGTTATTTGTTGTTTGTTAATATATTAGTTATTTTATAGTAAAATATAAATATCATGGATTTTTTAAAATTAAATTTATTAATCAATATTTTTAAAACTGTGGTCACCTCATTCCTCTTCCTTGCTACTTCACTCCTGCCATGGCTCCCAACATCCTGATAAGACAATGAAATCAATTGAATCCCTTTTCCCTTTCTAGATACAGCATTACCGCTGTGGTTTCCAATGTCCTTAGAAGATAATGGAACAAATGCAAATGGTGAGGGTGGTCATGATGGAATTGTATTATCAACGAATTCCACCACCTTACTTGTCGGTGTCTTTATTGCACTATTTTAAGGCTCGACCTAGTCGGTTGAATCGGTTCAACTGGACCTAGGCTTGAAAATGAGCCAGATACATCCCTTAGCCTATTTTGACATTTGGCCTGCTCCAACTCGTCTGGCCCGCTCCACTCGTTAAACCTGCCAAACTTAACCTCATCTCTTCAATTAACCCCCCCCCCCTTTTTTCATTTTCAAGCCAATATACCTATTTTATTTGATCTTTTTAATATTATTACATTAAAACCCTTAAACTTCAACTAAGATTAGATAAAAAAAAAAAAAAAACAACTATGCTCGGTTGGGCATTCTAAAAACCTAAAAAATAGAAAGAACAAGAAACAAAACAGATTCTCCTTCCTCCATTGACCTTCGTACTCTCAACCACCATTGTCCTCCCTGCTCTCAACCACCATTATCGACAGCCCTTTCCAACCTTTCGTGGCTCATCTTCCTTGCCTTCCTTCATTGGACAACAACAGCTTCTCTTTCACTGAATAGAGCAATAGTAGCACAACAGATCTACATTTGCTCTCAACCACCATCGTTGGTAGCCCTTTTTAGCCCTTCGCAGCTTATCTTCCTTGCTTTCCTCCACCAAAAAACAATAACTTCTTTTTCACCAAACAGAGCAGCAGCAGTAGAATAGATATGCATCTACTCTCAACCATCATTGTC